GAAAATTATATTGAGCAAAGTTGTAAAAAAAAAAATTAGTCCCCCTCCCAAAAAAAAGAAACCTAGTTGCGTCTACAGGGTGCACGCGTTTCGTTTTATTTTGCTTACTACTGCAACATGTTTCACTTGCGCGTAACCGAACTGCAGCTGCACTTTCCTCGAGGACAAAGCGACTTCTGTTATTTCGATCGTTAAACCTAGTCTCGCTATAACTGTCATCGTATCACTCATATACAGATATATGTAAGTTGTGTACTATTACCATGGACGCTTTCTCTAACTCACTTTCTATACATATTCAAGAGCGGAAGAATTATATATAAATGTATGTGTGTGACGGACGCGTGAGGGACGCGTGAAATAAACAAATAAAAATTAGTAAAAATGCAATGAATGTGCAAGTAATGACTTATATGTCTACTTATATGTATACTCATGTATGAGTTAGAGTCGTATCTAATACCTGCAGATATCCATCACTGATTATAGTTATAGCGCACTGACTAGTTATGGCGCAAAACGTGTACGTAAACTTCGTCACAAACGAGCTTTTTACTATTTTTTTCGGGTCCGGTGCACCATTTCTTGGCATTTAATATTATTCGTACACTTGTTTGTCAATATGCTGTAGAAGAAAACAAACGAGAAGCAATTCCTGCTCTAGTGCAAGATTTTATTTTATTGTAAAAGTGATATTTATATATATATATATATTCAGACATTTGAAATGAAAATTTAATTAAAATTCTAAAAAAATTACAGATTGAAGGTTTAAAAGGACGAAAAGAATCGTCAACGTTTACAAAAATAATTAAAAATGCTTCGTGCTATATTTCAAATTTTTAGGCGCATTATCATAAGAAAAATGAATTTTTCAATTCTTCTAATTGGTTAAACTTATTGGACAATAATTTAAATTGTCTAAGAATAGCATTATTTATTAGTATAAATATAAGAAATATAATTCGTAAAAATATCGAAGCTACAAAAATAATTTGTTATTCTATCAATATAGATAAACGCCAGAGTGGAAAAATAAACATAAAATGAAATTAGTTTTCATTCTTCCCCTACGCTTGGGAAAACTTGCTTATGGAATATACTGCTTTCATACTAAGAACACCAAATGCAATCTTTGATGCAAATTTCCAACCCCAGTGTTAACAATAATAAAAACAGCAATATAAAATAAAAAATTCTTTGTTTCGCTGGGTATCTAAAACAAAGCTTACTTCGTTAAAAATGAATATTTAATCATACCACTTTAATATCGATACAATACTTAAAATATGAACAGGTTCGCAATTAAGATGTTTCGGCCCAGGGGCAACAACATATTGCCGCCCCTCTTCCCTGAAGTGTAAAATCGAAAATAAGTGTCTCCGACTATTCATTAAAAAGCCACTCGCAATTAATTTTCCCCATTTTCGTACACTATTACACAATATTTGTTATTAATATCAAATCTAAAATAATAACCGAGTTATAATTACAAAAATAAAATTATAGAAAATTATATTTTATTAGACTGATGGTAGTACCCTTAAATCATTTAGTACCTTTCGGTTTGAACGTCCCATCCCCATACAGGATTAAACCAATATCTACATCTCAATAAAACACCATATCAAATAAAATATTCTTAAATAAACATCAATTTTATACACTACTAAATATAAAATCATTTACGTTATACTTATAAGATTTTTTTTTATTTAATTTTATTTATTCAAAAATAATTTTCCATTAAGAATGCAAAAAAATCGATTTGGTTTTATTGAGATTTACCGTAAATATATTGCCGCCTGCTCATATATTTCAGGGGAGGCTATTGCTGAATACGGCCCTGCATATGAACCACTCTCATTTATTTTATAAATCTATATCCTTTATACCGAAATAATTCCTCCGCTTTGGAAATATAAATTATAGAATCGATCGTGAAAATAATTTTTATTTTTATTGATCGAAACGCGAAGTATATGAATATAATTAAGGAAATAATTTACAACAATATTAAACGTACAATCATTATAACCTACAATGGGATAGTTAACTATGATTATCAGTGTTTATTTTTCAATATCATAATATACATCTCAATATCTAGGTCATCGTAAGCGCATTAAACAAAACAATTATTATTAATGACTTTCACGAGGCGTTTAAGATTAATTTTGTTTTTTAATCGAGCTATCGATTTTCGATTTCGCGATGTTTATTTTAGTCGATTATTATATACTCGTGTACATCGACGTACTGTTTTATCAACGTTTATGGAAAAGTAACGATCTCGTAGTTAATTGTTCGGAAATAATACAAAAAAAAAAAAAAAATATAGAAACGAACGTTTTTTTTTTCAAAATATTTTATTCGGATCAACGGTGTATCAATCACACTTGACAACAGTGTATGTTTCAGGATTATTTGTCCCGCGAAACACATCGGTGTTCAAACCCACGGTCGCGCGATAAAAACATCGCATCGTTAACACTTAACAGTCACCGGCGCCGGCCTACGTGATCAGACGAACGTCTTGCGTTCAGTGTTTCCCCCTCCCTCCCACCCCGGCCGTACACAACCGATACGCCGTAATGTTCTCCCTACGCGGCGGCGGTTTCAGCGTTTTCCGCGAAACGCCCATGCCCACTGGTGGCACAGAAAACACGAGAGGAGATAAAACGCGGAAAACCTAACCGCCTATATTTATTATTCTCATACTGCAACCCATACATGTCGCCGTCAATTATGTAAATTAGGTAATACTGTGATTGCCAATATGGTAAATACCCCCGGACCAGAGGCGGATTTATCTTTTTCACGGCTACGGGCACCAACAATTTGCCGCCCCTGTAATAGGCGAAGAAGTTGTGCTACCCATTCCAAAATACCTTATGAAAATATTTAATATATTGACGTATGTACCCGCATCCGTTTGAATGTTTACATTATTTTTTCGCTTTTATTAATCGGTTTGCTTTGAAAAAATGTCAACGGCATGTCCCTTAAATTTTAATAAAAACAGATTTTCATAATAACAGCATAGGATTTATTAGTGAGCAGTCTAATTAGTAATATAGTGCGGCAACGTGGGTATTTATTTTACCCCGAAAATCCGACCACAACATATTAACAAAATGCAAACACATTATTACACGATTATTTTCCGTAAATATAATGTAATTAATTTTCCAATTTCTTTTTTCATACGTTTGATGTTTTTTATTATAACAGAATTTTCCACCCTAGGCAGCTGCCTACAGTGCCTAAGCCCCAGACATTAATTGACAACACGAGCATGTTGTTGGTACCAAATTTTTTTTCAACACATTTACAACCAGTGTTGAGACTTATCTAGATAATTGTTCAGTTATCTTTTATCTTGCGTGGATAAATAGTTGCACGTTATCTAAATAATTATCTAAGATAAATTTTTAATCTATCCAAGTAAATTTATTAATTCGTCTTTGTATGAGTACAATAAAATAAATCGTAAATTTACGATTTATTTTATTGATAATCAATACTTGTTATTTTAATTTTGAGTTAATAAATGATCCGGTAACAAAATCACAAAACAATATATTATAGGTACAGGTATTATTAAGATTTTTGTGAGGAAACCGTGATGTTTAAGTGAAGAGTAAATGTTATGTTGGTGAGTAGTGAGCTGGTAAATGAATGGAAAAATGATTGTAATTATTAATTAGTCATAATTAAAGGTCGGATTAATATTCTCTTAAAATCCTTAAAATATGATTTATGTCGTTTTTGTGTCGTCAAAAAAAGCAGTATATTCTCTAAATATTCTTTAAAAATACCATATTTATGATGCTTTATGTTTTTAAAAATACAATATTATATAACATTACATATTCAATATTCTGTAAAAAAAAAATTATTTTAATGACTTGGTTTAAATTTATCGATTACTACATTTTATTATTAATTTAATTTATAAAAACATTAAAAAAAAAAAGTCGGTTTTAATTCTAATATTAACCGTACGTAAATTACACCTAATATCTAGTAATTAATTTTTAAAACAACCTAAAAGGGTATAAAAATAACTCAAATTGTGAATATTGAATTTGTTGATCAATATTATCAAAATGTCGATCTACATAATGCGTGCATGGATATGCAGACAAATAATAGGTAATATAAATTATTTCCTTCAAAAAATATATTTACAAAAATAAAAATATTTATAAAATATTCTCAAATATTCTCTGACGTATTGAATATTCCCTAACCCCTAAATTAATTTTTTTCTGTGAATTCTGTGTTTCCTGAATCTTAAAAATATCTCCACTCTCATTTAACTGCATAGATATATGCAATATACAATTATGTAAAATCATAAAAATCCGGTCTCTATGAAAAAAAAAAAAATATATATATATATATAATATAATACAATACCTATAATATTATATATATAATAACATATTAATAATAATATATAATATATTATATATAACCTATAATATATAATACATACATTATTATCAAAATGTATGATTAGTTACTCGTTCAGATCTTACCTATTTATTTCTTATATTATTATTTTCGACATCAAATAAAATATTATTTTATTCATTGTATGTATAATATACATGAAATAACAAACATCTTACCGAATACCACTACAAATATAATTTTAAATACATACTAAAACTGTCGTAAGTTTACAACAATCACAGTTAACTATGACGTGTCAAATGTGTAAAATAATATTTTCTTTACATTTAGCCTTAATCTTTAAAATGTTTGTTAATTTATATTTATTGAACATGGACTAATAATAATATTTACTACTAACAATAATTTAAGAAAATAGCCTGTGTTAAATAATATTAAAGTACTAAGTAGTATACTAGTATCTAAAGTGTACTCTCGGAAAGTTAGCCTTCAATATATAAAAAAAAATGATCTCTCTTTTTATCTAGATAAAATGTAATTACCTTTAATCTTCATCTAGATAGATTTAAATTCGGTTATCCTTTATTTTTATCTAGGAACATTTTTGTCGTATTATCTTCATCTGTATCTAAGCACAAAAAGTATTTATCAAATCCCAACGCTGTTTACAACTATTTAATACCGATAAATGTTGATAATTTTGTTTAGCAATATATAAAGATTAGGTGAGATATTTTTAAATGCAAGATAAATTATACGTGATTATTTGTTTTCATAATTTATTGTATCGTAACACTTTGAATTGCATATAATATTAGTTTTGCATCCTGTTTACAAACACATCTAGTATATCCTTTTGATCCCGCGATTCCATAGCCTCACGAACGATAACTTATTTTAATTTAATAAATCGATTTCACAACGTGCAAGGCCGTCACTAATTCAACAAACATATAATTGATTTAATATTTTTATCGATTATGTCTGAAACAGCCGGGATCATCGTCATTACCTAGGAAATGTTTCTAAACTGTCTGGAAATAATGAACATTCACATTACTTCCTTCCTGATCAACATCGTATACTGTGTGATCGGAAATGTTATTGCGGCTAGACATTTTCGTTGATTCCAAAATTTATGTTTCTGCCGGTAATATATATATATATACATGCATATATTTATAAAATACAATAATAATTATTGTATTTTATAATTATTATTATTATAATTATTGTTGCCTTTTCCCGTTGCAGCGCCAATCAGTGGTCTCGAAATCTTAAAAACGTGATCGGAAAACATTTAAAAAGGCCACAGTATCTGAACACCAGCCCCAACGGCGCACCGGGAGGAGGGGAAGGAACAGCAGTTTTTTACCCAAACTTCGGATCGATACGAAGCGTCCTCGCGGCTAAATTTTCAAAAAATGTCGGACTCGACCTCGATATCGTGCGCGTAAATGGAGACGGTTCACGGTTAGGGTTAGGGCTGCGTGTTTATTTTATTTCTATGTTATCGATATGTAGGAAATTATATCGATTATAATGGGTTTTTTTTATATATACATTCTAATCGATTATTATCAGTTATAAATATTATAATTGATTCTTAAACTTTAATCGGTTATTATTTATACATAAATTATAATCGATTATAATTGATACTTAATCAATAATCGGTTATTATTTAAACATAAATTATACTCAATAGGGCTCGGAAATTGTTACATTTGCAACTTTTTTTCTATTGTTCAGATTCGTAGCTGAGCACGTTATAAATTTGTTTTAATCAAGTACAAACAATTATCTAAAAATTTGAAGTGCAACGTTTTGCAATTTTTACCTTATTTCAATTTTATTGCAATTTTGTTGATTGTTGTCATTTTCTATACAATTTTATGTACTTTTGTAATTTCGCATTTTAAAGAGTAACAAAAAAAATAACATAACGTATAACAAAATTTTGTTAGATTATATAGGAATAATCTATGGTTTTTTTAATAAGAAAGTTTCAAGTTACAACTAATATAGGTCAACAATTACAGATAATCTATGGTTATGATGGGCTTTGTTGGTTATGACTTGTGACGGCTCCTTTCACCGTCGTTGTTGGTGGTACAGTAGAGCCTCGATAATCCGGACGAATTCAGACCGAGCATCGTCCGGATTACCGATTTTTCCGGATTACCGGAGGTTTCTCAAGAATACCTACTCAAATGACTAAGATTTTATTTTTAATTTCACCATCTTTATATTTATTGCATTTTAAATTATAAGAATAATAAACAACTTAAATTAAAACTAAACTAATGAATTACAAAAAAAAAAAAATGTTTATAATATGTAGAATTTAAGTATAATAATCGGTAATTTTTTTCTGAATAGTACTTTTAATTTTCATTTCAAAAGCGAGTTCTCTTAATCGACGTACCAACAAAATATCAATGCTATCCATGTTCTCATCTTCCGCCCATTGCAATACAGTATTCAATGCATTCACAGCTTCTGAAGGAGAAACTTTACTTGTACTAATTGAGCCACTTTCATCCTCGTCGTCAATATCATCCTCTTTTGCTGCAATTTGTAGAATTTGATCATCAGTTAAGATTTCATGATTCGCTAAATCTTCGTCTGCGCCACGGCAAGCCCATTCCTGTGCTTGAGAATCAGACATTTTATTCGTACATGTTTTCTGTATCTGGTTTATAAGTGTAGAAAGTTGAATGTCATTAATTTCAACAACTTCGTCGATTTTATTTTCTGTTTGGAAAGGAAGCAAGTGTTTCCACGATTTCTTTATGAGCATTGGCGGGACCAATTTCCAACAATTTGCAAGACTAAAAACTGCGTCTTTTAAATTTATGGCCTTTAGAGCATCAATAAGGTTTTCACCATGCACCGGATCAGCAAGAACATTGACTAAGAGAGACTTACGATAGTTTAATTTAATATTCTGAATTACATTTTGATCTATCGGTTGAATAAGCGCTGTAGTATTAGGGGGTAAAAACATTGCAAAAATGTTGCCATCATCACTATGTAATTCTTCTGCTGATGGATGTCCAGGGCAATTATCCAACAATAATAAAGCTTTTGGAGATAAATTTACATTTAAAAGGTGCTCACGAACTACAGGAACAAATTGTTTTTGAAACCAGTCTAAAAATAAAACACGAGTGGCCCAAGCATTTTTTTGTCCACGATAGTATACGGGAAGGTTAACTGATTTAAACGCACGTGGTTTTTGTGCAGTCCCAATGACGAGTAAAGGCAATTTATGTATTCCACTTGCATTAGCACAAGGCATGAATGTTATTCTAGCTTTAATCATTTTTCTTCCGTTTTTCTCATGACTTGATGTCAATGTATGCTCTGGTAACATTCGCCAGAATAAACCGGATTCATCAGCGTTATAAATTTGTTCTAGGTCCAAATTGTTTTCATTTATGACTCGCTGCAACTCATTTCGAAATGGTTCGATTGATGCTTCGTCACATGAAAGTTTCTCATCCGTTATTTTAAGGCGCCTAATACCATGACAATGTTTAAAATTGTCTAGCCAACCTCTACTAGCAGTGAAACCATCTTCCTGCTTTGTTATTTCACGGTGAAATAAACGTGCTTTTTCGCAAATTATTTCACCACTTATCGGAATATGTCGTCTCCGCTGTTGCATAAACCATATAAATAAAGCATTTTCCAGAACAAAATTTTCCGGTTCTTTTAAAGTTTTACGTGTGCCTGGACCACGTTCAGTTGTGCTGACAAACTTCATAATTTTTTCTTTATTTTTTTTTATGTCACCAACAGTCGATTTACCTATTCCGTACTTCTCAGCAATCATACCATAGTTCTGGCCATTTTCCATTAGCTTAATTATTTCAATTTTTTGATCTAAAGTTAAAGTTACGTGTTTACGAGGAGCCATTGTACAAACAAGAATAATAACCACTCGACAAGAAGTAAACGAACTGACCATCGGGCATCGATTTATTACCTACATATGTACATATTAGTCTTTACTAGGAACAGTAGGTAATAAAAATGACGAAATTGTATTTGTCGATAACAATATCTTATGCATAGATTAATTGGGTTCCGGGAATTCTCGTAAAATCTATTTACGAACAAACGGAATTTTGCCGTCCGGATTACCGCGTTCACCGGATTATCGGGGGTCCGGACTATCGAGGCTCTACTGTAATTGGAAAAACTATTTGATTAGTAGAAAAGTTGTCGTTACTCGTCAATTGCTTTTACTCATTAACCAGTGGATTGATGTATTATTAAATATGTTCGCAGAACGCAGATCACAAATCAAATGTGTGTCCCGGTGTTCATTCACTCCGTTAAATTCAACATTTGTGAAAAGAATAACAACATATTTATAAATATAACGTTGTATCAATAACAATTCTATCAAATTTTAAAAATAAACACTAAATTCGTTTATGTTTATATTATTTTAGCAATGGTTAAAAGGGATTTTATGCTATAAATATAAATACTTCAATAACAATACCATGACCGCTACAATGAAAACATTTTATATTTATGTTATATTCCTAAAATATTTTTCAATTACATAATGTATTAAATATAATCTCAATTATAATTAATTGAGATTATTTTGTTTTTTAATTATTATTTAAGTCAATTAATAATTGTTTTCATTAATCGAAAATAATCGAGAATAATCGAATCGCGGTTATATCGATTATTTATAAATATGGAAAATAATCGATTAAAATTATCGATTATATGAAATAACCGCGCAGCCCTATTCACGTTGCAGTGCACTCGGATATTACGACGGTGCACCGCTATTATCTGGTGCACCGGTGCATGTCCCTGCTGCTGCACCGTGTCATTAGGAGAAAGCAAAAAAAAAAAAAAATTTACCTCGATCGTTTACAATATCGATTTAATGGGACGTACGTGTCGTGCACGAGCGTGTATTGTTGAATAAAAGTGCGCGCAAAAATCACGGGTGGAGGGGAAGGGCAAGGGACGCGCGGCAATGGCCTTCTTTCCCGGTTACCGCTCGGTCACCGTTTCCTCTTCGCCGAAACGCAGTAAACACGTCCTACGTACGATTATGTTATTCTATTGTACGCGACGCGTACCGTCATTGTCCGAGTTGTATGGATTCTGGCGAAGCGAGGAACGCGTATTTTTATTATCATTATTTTGTTGTTATTGTTATTTCTCTCTCTCTCTCTGTCTCTCTCTCTATTTATGCATTACGACGCACTGTTTACTATGCGACGCGTATGTATGGCATACGATTTTGTTATTACTTATTTCGTCGATGATAATAATGATATGAAAATCCTTTGCTGTTGGCACACTCGCGGGGGATAAGGATCGCGGTTTTCGCGAGATCTGACGTTTAGGTTGCTGTGCATGATCGCCATCGGCGTATCGTCTGAAATTGATAAATAAAAATACGTTCTCGTACGATCGATTACGCACATTGAGTAGTACAAAAAGTAGTAAAAGCGTTATTCTTCTGGACGAATAATGATCTATTATTGAGATGCAACGCACCGGTATCCCATGGCTGCGATATTTCTTTGGAAGCTTAGGATACTAAAAATATGTTAAACAAGATTACGAATTGTTTATTGGACACTGATTCATTCATGTTATTATTATCAAACAGTTTTAACATGTATTGAAGAAACAGATAAGTTTATCAATATTTTTATTTTTTTTGTTTTTTTTTTTTTTTAATATTAAGCCATTTCGATTGGTATACTTTCACCCTGACCTCCCAAGACTGAAAGTCCGACACGCAGAAGGTGTACAAACAATATTCTACTCGAATGCGAACAATGGACGGAAAAGTTTAAACCGGTTAAGGTGGTTTGGCAAAGATGCTAGTTAAAGACGATGACGGCAACAGGCCCTGCTTCAAGTGATTGCATACTGCAACCATATGCACGGTACACATTTAAATACTAAACGATTAAATTCAAACTCTTCATTTCCTTCGAGAAAATAAAAGTGAAATATGGTTATCCACTGTGTGCACCCAATGCGTCAATAATTCCGTGACACTCATCGATTGAAATAGTCTAGTGTAAAAATTATTATTCGTTTGTATTCAAAAACCGTTGTGGTTTTATGACCGCTCAGGGTTACGATACACGCGTTCTGCAGTGAAAGAGGTATCTTTTTTTCCCTCTCACCACCCCTCATCCTCATCATAAATACGCAACGGATTAGTAACTGTTGAAATACGTTAGAAATGAAAAAATTCATCGAATGAAAATTACTTCATCAGTTGAGTAAATTTAGTACTATAAAAATGCATTAAAACAAAACATTTAATGTAGATAAAAATTATGTATTTTACGATCAAAATATTCAACCATGAATATTATGTGTCGAATTAAAAAATATTTGAGTATTCATGTTCGATATTAATGCTATAATACCGTGCATCGAAAGTTTTGATCAACATTTAATCCAAGTTTTAACTTCTCCCTTTATATTATGCTTAATATTATTATTTAATTGTTTTGATGTTATTTCAAAATTGACATTTCATTATTTTGACTAAATTATAGAAAAATTACTTTTTTTCACAAAACTATAAATAAAAATTATAAAAATGTATGTATTCATAAATAAAATATAATTATGAGTTATACATAATATATTAACATAAGCATTCAGGGAAAATATTACAATTACCTTTAATATTTATAAGGCAACATAATAATAATAAATAATAATAATGTTTTTATAATTTTATAATACTGATATAATATTCCAACATTTGAAAATTATGTACAAAACTCTCTTAGATTAAACAAAGGAATTTTCATTGCTTTAAATTTTGCAAACTTTTCGACCAAATTACGTTCTGCGTTTCTGAGTAGGTATTGTGTATAGAAAATTGCAGTGATAAGTAAAGTTTGTTTACTGAATCATCCGAATTAACTTGAACTTGATTTATTATTATAAATTGGTAAAATTGAATAATTAATTGATTATAACATAAAATACACAAATTTATTACATATTTGGGTAATGTTGTAATAATATTCATTAATATTTAATATTACTAAGGATTCAGGTTTTATAGAATTTCCTAATTAATATAAAATACAAATAAAAATATTTTAGATTTTTAGTATAATTTTTGAAGGTTTGGTGCTATATTGGCCAATGAACAGTTAACCCCCCACCCTATATACGTGCCGGCACGTAGGCATGTAATACATTATTTACATTTTTACATTTATAATTTTATAGTTATTCAGATATTTCAATATAAAAGAAAAATTAATGCTTACCTATGTAAAATAAAAAAACCTAGTTTTATTATTATCAATTATGATGACACCCCCTAAATTTATAATACTTTTTACGTTCTATGGCACTTGCCTTAGTTGCTCCTCCCCTCTTGGGATTTATGTATACGCTGTATACAAATTGAACTAAAAGGCGTACATCAACTGCGCTGAAAATTGTAGGTAAAAAACGAAAAACTTAGGAAAATAGTATAGAAAAAGGTAAACATCAACTGCGCCGATTGATATTCGAGTATTACCATATGTTACAGTCATTATGCCGATCGATTCGTTTAACCTATTAGGCGAAAGAACAACAAATTACGGAGAGTTATTTCACTCAGAAATAAAAATATTTTTACTCGACCCATCCAATTATTTTTGTTTTTTATGAAGTTTTAAAAAGCATTCAACTTCAATTGTGTATTAGGATAAATGGTGCCGAAAAAAAAACAAAATTAAAAACCAAAAGTATAAAAAACAAAAAATCATAGTTGAAGAAAATGTATTCAAATATTTAAATGGAAATTTAGATATGTGGGAATTTTAAAAATGATAACCATAACTACAAAACAGTTTAATAATGTGAATAAATAAATTCTATCATATATAATAGGTAGAAAAACAATTTTCTAGCTTTAATTTATTTTTCTCTGGACATATAAATTTAATAACATTCAAGTCCAATACAATTTATAACGGCCTTAAACCTCGATAATTTTTGTAACATATTAACTCCGGTATAACAATGTTATAATAATGTTATTATAATATTATTTAATATATATTATGTAATAATAATAATATAATTATATAGTTGTTTGTATTAACTATATTCATATGAACTTAAATTATAAAAATTAAAATTAACTAAATTAGTTTTTTTATTTAATTTTAAAACTATCAAAAATGCTACGGCGGCACAGTTGATGTGATTACACATTTTTTGTTTAACTTTTTTGTACGGGTGCAATAGATTATTATATAATTAAGGTTGTGTCCCAAATTCAGCACAATTGACGAACACCGGAACTAAATAGGGATGACGAATAACCTAATTTTAAGTACTAACCCATTTAAATGTTGCGAGTTAGTAAGTATTTTAAACCCTAGTTAATAACCGAAATTATGTACACAGCAACCCCTCACAAAAACTATAATCAAAATATTATTATTATCCTTATGAGAATATTGAAAAATGTTTACCAATACTTTTGTATTTATGCTGCTACACAGGTATAACTATATAGTTAGTTGGTTAGTTTTATGTTTTTATTACTCCGTTGTATACAGCTATATCGTATTTATTTTTATTGATTCAAGTTTAATAGCACCTATTGCAAGGACATTTAAAAATTCATTCGAATGAATAGAAAAATCTACGCCATTTCAAAATCTCAGTATATGTAAACAAAAAGTAAAAACCATTTGAAATGTTTGATAATTATTTATTTATCAATTATAATCATTACGTTTCAAAAAAATATGTTTCATTTATGGATTTATTTTGTTATTTGTATATTTCAATTAACATTATTTTGATATGGTTATAAAACGTTAATACCAACTGAGTCATCAATAAACAGACATACGCATATAACTACATAATAATAGTTAATACATA